CATCACCAGCCGCATTCAAAGCCACCGTCACCGCTGATCACCTCACAGACCCAGCTCCCTGTCAACGCCTATCACCTCCTTGCCACAGACCAGCTCCTGTCAACACTGGATCACTCCTACACAGACCAGCCCTCCTTGCCAACACTGATCACCTCACAGACCAGCCCTGCTCAACGCCTATCACCTGACACAGACAAGCCCCTGTCAACACTGATCACTCCCACACATGAGACCAGCCCTGCCAATGCTGACTTCACACAGAATGCCCTCGCTTCACCTGATTCTACCCCTGCCACAGACAAGCCCCTGTCAGCGCTCTCATCACCTCACACACAGATAAGCCCCTGCCAGCAAGGATCACCTGCCACAGACCAGCCTCTGTCAACGCCTATCACTCTCACATAGACCAGCTCCCTAAGTCAACACTGATCACCTAATACAGGTTCAGCTCCTGTCAACGCTGATCACCTCACACAGACAAGCTCCTACAACGCTGATCACTCCTGGCCACAGGACTACAGCCCCCTGGCTCACCACTTTGGATCACCTCACACAGCTCCTACAACGCCTATCACCTGCCACATAGACCAGCCCATGTCAACGCCTATCACCTCATTACACGCCCCTGTCAAGTGCTGATCACTCTCACACAGACTAAAGCCTCTTGTCAATCGCTGGATCACCACACAGACTTCAGCTCCTCTAAGTCAACGCCTATCACCTCACATAGACCAGCCCTTGCCAAGTGCCTTCTCATCACCTCACAGCATCCTCAGCCTCACAACGCTCCACTACCTCACATAGACCAGTGCCCCTGTCACCACTTTTCGATCACTCCTGACACAGACCAGCTCCCTGTCATGACTTCACCACAGACAGCTCCGCTCAATGTTGATCACCCCACAGACCAGCCTCTGTCAACTCCCATCACCGCCACACAGACTCAGCCCCCTGTCAATGCTGGATCACCTCACACAGACCAGCCCCTGTTAACACCTCCCATCACCTCACACACAGACCAGCCCCTGTCAACGCTGATCACCTCACACAGACCCAACGCCCCCTACACGCTGGGATCACCTGCCACAGACCAGCCCCCCTGTCAACCCTGATCACCACACAGACCAGCCCCTGTCAACGCCCGCTCACATCACCTCACACACAGACTGTGCCCCTGACCACCTCACACACCTACAGCACCGCGATCAGACCAGCCCCCTGTCAACACACCTGATCACGCTCTCTCACACAGACCAGCCCCTGTCACACTCGCTGATCACCTCTACACAGACCAGCCCCGTCAACGCTGGATCTACCTCACACAGACCAGCCCCCGCCGTAAGCGATCACCTCTCACTGCCATCAGGCCCCTGTCATCACCATCACCCCGGCCACCGCACCCTCAGCCCCCTGTCAACGCCTCATCACCTCACACAGACCAGCCCCCTGCAACGCCCACCCTCATCAGCCCTTCGGAGGCACAGACCAGCCCCTGCACTGCACCCGCATCACCGGCCACACAGAGCCCCAGCCCCCTTGTCAACGCCATCACCATCACCTCACCACCAGACCAGCTTCTCCCTGTCAACGCTGATCACCTCACACAGACAGCTCAGCCTGTCTGTCACCGCTGGATCACCTCACACAGACAAGCAGCCTCCTGTCACAATGCCCATCACCTGGACACACAGACAAGCTTCCCCTGTCAACACTGATCACCTCACACAGACCAGCCCCTGTCAACTGGATCACCTCACACAGACCAGCTCTCCCCTGTCAACGCTGGATCACCTCACACAGACCAGCCCCTGTCAACGCTGATCACCTCCACACAGACTTCAGCCCCTGTCAACACTGATCACCCCACACAGACCCTGTCAGCCCCCTGTCAACGCCTTACACACCTGACAAGCCTCCCCTGTCAACACTGATCAATCACAGACCTGCTCCCCCCTGTCACACACTGGATCACCTCACACACAGACCAGCCCCTGTCAACGCTGATCACCTCACACAGACCAGCCCCCTGTCACATGCTTCCGCCTCTGATCACCTCTCACACAGACCAGCTGTAGCCCCCCTGTCAACGCTGATCACCTCACACAGACCAGCCCCTGTCAACGCTTGATCACCTCACACAGACCAGCCCCTGTCAACGCTGGATCACTCCTCACACAGACCAGCCCCTGTCAACGCTGATCACCTCCTCACACAGACCAGCCCCTGTCAACGCTCATCACCTCACACACAGACCAGCCCCCTGCCAACGCTGATCACCTCACACAGACCAGCCCCTGTCAACGCTGATCACCTCACACAGACCAGCCCCCACTCACGCTTGATCACCACCTGCCACAGACCAGCCCCTGTCAACGCCTATCACCTCACACAGACCAGCCTCCTGTCAGCGCCTGCCATCACCTCACACAGACCAGCCCCTGTCAACGCCACATCACCTGACACAGACCAGCCCCTGTCAACACTGATCACCTCACACAGACCAGCCCCTGATCACTCCTCACACAGACAAGCCCCTGTGAACGCCTCATCACCCTCACACAGACAAGCCCCTGTCAACACTGGATCACCTCACACAGACCAGCCCCCCTGTCAACGCCTGATCACCTCACACAGACCAGCCCCTGTCAACGCCCATCACTCTCACACAGACCAGCCCCCTGTCAACACCTCCATCACCTCACACAGACCAGCTCACCCCTGTCAACACTGGATCACCTCACACAGATCAGCCCCCCTGTCAACGCCCATCACCTGACACAGACAAGCCCCCTGTCACTGATCACCTCACACAGACCAGCCCCTGTCAACACTGATCACCTCACACAGACCAGCCCCTGTCAACACGCTGATCACCTCACACAGACCAGCCCCTGTCAACGCCCATCACCACCTGACACAGACAAGCTCCCTGTCAACACTGATCACCTCACACAGACCAGCCCCTGTCAACGCTGATCACCTCACACAGACCAGCCCCTGTCAACGCTGATCACCTCACACAGACTCAGCCCCCTGTCAACGCCCATCACCTCACACAGACCAGCCCCTGTCAACGCTGATCACCTCACACAGACCCAGCCCCTGTCAACGCCTCCATCACCTCACACAGACCAGCCCCTGTCAACGCCTGATCACCTCACACAGACCAGCCCCCCCTGTCAACGCTGATCACCTCACACAGACCAGCCCCTGTCAGCGCTGATCACCTCACACACAGACCAGCCCCTGTCAACGCCCATCACCTCACACAGACCAGACCCCCTGTCAGCGCTCATCACCTCACACAGACCAGCCCCCTGTCAACGCCCATCACCTGACACAGACCAGCCCCTGTCAACGCCCATCACCTCACACAGACCAGCCCCTGTCAACGCCCATCACCTCACACAGACCAGCCCCTGTCAACGCTGATCACCTGACACAGACAAGCCCCTGTCAACACTGATCACCTCACACAGACCAGCCCCTGTCAACGCTGGGATCACCTCACACAGACCAGCCCCTGTCAACGCCCATCACCTCACACAGACCAGCCCCTGTCAACGCTGATCACCTCACACAGACCAGCCCCTGTCAACACCTCGATCACCTCACACAGACCAGCCCCCTGTCAACGCCCATCACCTTGACACAGACAAGCCCCTGTCAACACTGATCACCTCACACAGACCAGCCCCTGTCAACACTGATCACCTCACACAGACCAGCTGTCCCCTGTCAACACCTGATCACCTCACACAGACCAGCCCCTGTCAACGCCCATCACCTGACACAGACAAGCCCCTGTCAACACTGATCACCTCACACAGACCAGCCCCTGTCAACGCTGATCACCTCACACAGACAGCCAGCCCCTGTCAACGCTGATCACCTCACACAGACCAGCCCCCTGTCAACGCTGATCACCTCACACAGACCAGCCCCTGTCAACGCTGATCACCTCACACAGACCAGCCCCTGTCAACGCCCATCACCTCACACAGACCAGCCCCTGTCAACGCTGATCACCTCACACAGACCAGCCCCTGTCAACGCTGATCACCTCACACAGACCAGCCCCTGTCAGCGCTCATCACCTCACACAGACCAGCTCCCCTGTCAACGCCCTGACACAGACCAGCCCCCTGTCAACGCCCATCACCTCACACACAGACCAGCCCCTGTCAGCGCTGATCACCTGACACAGACCAGCCCCCTGTCAACGCGCTGATCACCTCCACACTACAGACCAGCCCCTGTCAGCGCCCATCACCTGACACAGACAAGCCTCCCTGTCAACACTGATCACCCTCACACAGACCAGCCCCCTGTCAACGCTGATCACCTCACACAGACCAGCCCCCTGTCAACGCCCATCACCTCACACAGACCAGCCCCTGTCAACACTGATCACCTCACACAGACCAGCCCCTGTCAACACTGATCACCTCACACAGACCAGCCCCTGTCAATCGCGCCCATCACCTCACACAGACAAGCCCCTGTCAACGCTGATCACCCCACACAGACCAGCCCCTGTCAACGCCCATCACCTCACACAGACCAGCCCCCCCTGTCAACACCTCGCTGATCACCTCACACAGACCAGCCCCTGTCAACGCCCATCACCTGACACAGACACAAGCCCCTGTCAACGCTCGGGATCACCTCACACAGACCAGCCCCCTGTCAACGCTGATCACCTCACACAGACCAGCCCCTGTCAATGCTGATCACCTCACACAGACCAGCCCCTGTCAACGCTGATCACCTCACACAGACCAGCCCCTGTCAACGCGCTGATCACCTCACACAGACCAGCCCCTGTCAACGCCCATCACCTCACACAGACCAGCCCCTGTCAACGCTGATCACCTCACACAGACCAGCCCCTGTCAACGCCCATCACCTCACACAGACAAGCCCCTGTCAACGCTGATCACCTCACACAGACCAGCCCCTGTCAGCGCTCATCACCTCACACAGACCAGCCCCCTGTCAGCGCTGATCACCTCACACAGACCAGCCCCTGTCAACGCCCATCACCTCACACAGACCAGCCCCTGTCAACGCTGGATCACCTGACACAGACCAGCCCCTGTCAACGCTGGATCACCTCACACAGACAAGCCCCTGTCAACGCTGATCACCTCACACAGACCAGCCCCTGTCAACACTGGATCACCTCACACAGACCAGCCCCTGTCAACGCCCATCACCTCACACAGAACAGCCCCTGTCAGCGCTGATCACCTCACACAGACCAGCCCCCTGTCAACGCTGATCACCTCACACAGACCAGCCCCTGTCAACGCCCATCACCTGACACAGACCAGCCCCCTGTCAACGCTGGATCACTCCTCACACAGACCAGCCCCTGTCAACGCCCATCACCTGACTAGACAAGCCCCTGTCAACACTCATCACCTCACACAGACCAGCCCCTGTCAACGCTGATCACCTCACACAGACCAGCCCCTGTCAACGCTGATCACCTCACACAGACCAGCCCCTGTCAGCGCCTCATCACCTCACACAGACCAGCCCCTGTCAACGCTGATCACCTCACACAGACCAGCCCCTGTCAACGCTGATCACCTCACACACAGACCAGCCCCTGTCAACGCCCATCACCTCACACAGACCAGCCCCTGTCAACGCTCATCACCTCACACAGACCAGCCCCTGTCAGCGCTGATCACCTCACACAGACCAGCCCCTGTCAGCGCTGATCACCTCACACAGACCAGCCCCTGTCAACGCCCATCACCTCACACAGACCAGCCCTGTCAACGCTGATCACCTGGACACAGACCAGCTCCCTGTCAACGCTGATCACCTCACACAGACCAGCCCCTGTCAACGCTGATCACCCCACACAGACCAGCCCTGTCAACGCTGATCACCTCACACAGACCAGCTCCCTGTCAAGCAACGCTGATCACCTCACACAGACCAGCCCCCTGTCAACGCTGATCACCTCACACAGACCAGCCCCTGTCAACGCCCATCACCTCACACAGACCAGCCCCTGTCAGCGCCCATCACCTCACACAGACCAGCCCCCTGTCAACGCTGATCACCTCACACAGACCAGCCCCCCTGTCAACGCTGATCACCTCACACAGACCAGCCCCTGTCAACGCTGATCACCTCACACAGACCAGCCCCCCTGTCAGCGCCTCATCACCTCACACAGACCAGCCCTGTCAACGCCCATCACCTCACACAGACCAGCCCCTGTCAACGCTGATCACCTCACACAGACCAGCCCCTGTCAACGCTGATCACCTCACACAGACCAGCCCCCTGTCAACGCTGATCACCTCACACAGACCAGCCCCTGTCAACGCTGATCACCTCACACAGACCAGCCCCTGTCAACGCTGATCACCTCACAGACCAGCCCCTGTCAACGCCCCCATCACCTCACACAGACAAGCCCCTGTCAACACCTGATCACCTGACACAGACCAGCCCCTGTCAACGCTGATCACCTCACACAGACCAGCCCCTGTCAACGCTGATCACCTCACACAGACCAGCCCCTGTCAGCGCTCATCACCTCACACAGACCAGCCCCTGTCAACGCCCATCACCTCACACAGACCAGCCCCCCCTGTCAACGCTGATCACTCCCACACAGACCAGCCCCTGTCAGCGCTGATCACCTCACACACAGACCAGCCCCTGTCAGCGCCCATCACCACACAGA